CTTATTTTGTTAATTTCACCAGAGGGTATTTTTCGTTTTTTTTTTTTTTAGAGAGAGAGTAGAAGGGAGATGGGGGGAGAAAGAGAGAAACATCAATGAGAGACACATCAATCGGTTGCCTCCCGCATGAGCCCAGACCAGGGCCAGGGATAGAGCTTGCAACCAAGGTACGTGCCCTTGACTGGAATTGAACCCAGGACCCTTCAGTCCACGGGCTGATGCTCTAACCACTGCTCAAACTGGCTAGGGCTACCATATCTTTTAAATCAGCTCCATAGGCTTGTCAATATTTGCTGAAACAATTTTTTCTATGGCTTCTCCAAGTGTGAATCCAAATAATGTCATATTTCAGCATAATAGTCATTTGTCAATCACTGAATGCTTTCCAAATAGAGTATTTACGAAGGCTGTGAGTCTCTACTGGGCCAAAGAAATGCTCAGAGTTCAACGCTCTATCAATAGCCTTCAGCAGGCAGAAGCTGCAGGAGCCAAGCAAGTGTCACTGATTAAAGAACAGCATAAAAATGGTGCTTGCCATCATTCCCCGGGTGATTTAATGCCCTCCTTCTCAGGCACCTATATGCCTTCCGTGCGTATGTGTGATGCAGCCACCCAGTGCTGGTGAGGTCCTTCCTGCCTCCACTGGGAGTGACACGAGGAGACAGGGTCCCATCCCAGAAGGTCCTCAGTGCAGTGGGGAGTAAAGAAGGAAGCCCTGCCCTCAGACAGGCTGGGTTCAGCTCTGCCTCCACTGTCAGGCTTGGGGTGAGAGACAAGGTCTTTATGCTTCATTTCTTTGTGTGCAAAACAGACATAACAATAATTCCCACCCCCAGGTCGTGGCCTCTCCCCCCCAGGTTGTACCCCTCTCCCCAGGACATGGACCTACCTCCAGGCCTTTGTGAGGATTCTATGAGAGGACACAGCTGGTGCTCAGGGAGTATGAATATTGGTGAGGCCACAGCAATGACCTTACTTTCGATGCATTTTGTATACAGTGCTTGAAAAAACATTTCACCATCGTTTAGTCACCTGCCCGGCATGAGTCAAACGCCTTATCCATTAACCCACACACGGAAGAAAACAGAACCAAGCCAACCTCAGTGAACCATGGTGCCATCTGTTCACCCTTTAGAAGAAGCCACTCCCCTCGCCTGGCTTGTCCTCTCTCCTGTTTGAAATAATTCCCACCAAGTCTGAATTCATCTTCGTAGAGACACCTTCCTGGTTCCAATAGCCACCACCCTCCAGCCCCCCTTCTATCTTTCCTGTAACTTTGATAGGTTGTCTACACAGTACTTGTCAACACTCTTTTGCTGTGCTGCACTTCTTTTCAAAATTGTGAGCATGCGGAAATTCCATTTTTCAGACAAATTAAGTAGTTTGTGGCTTATAGTAATTCTTGGAGCACAACCCTTTCTCTCCTGCTCGAGAAGAAATCTCAATAAATGGCATCACAAGGAGAGTTTTCAGTTTGCATTTTTCATTAATACAGAGGAAATCACTGCAAACTTGAGAACTTTATAAGTAGTAACAAGTTGCTTGGAACAAAAGTCTCAAAATGACAGTGATGTCATGACACTGAATTTGAGAACCGCTGGCCTCTACTTCCAATTTGATCTTCAGTGTACAGGCAGTTCTCACCGAATGTGTTATAACAGGTTTAAAAGTCAGTTTGTCAATTGGCATTTTGTACTTCAAAGCTGGTTTTCCCATAAGCAGTGCAATGAAAAGCAGAGGTTCTCAGCATATCCCACCACAGACAGGCCATCTGTGTGGAGTGTCCGGACTTAACTCAGGCTACTGAAGCCACAGTGTCACTGCCTGGCTCACATGGGAGTGTGGAGAAGAAAGAAGGTCACTGTGTATGAAGGTATTAAGTAACTAAGGAGGAGACAGAGAGACATCAGGGAGGGGAAAGCCATCAGAGAGGAGAAAGGTGGGTGCAGGTGGAGCTGTGACGTTTGAGGGACAATAGCCCCTGTATCTCTGAAGGAAGAGGGTGGGGATGACCAACTTACGACTATATTGTAAACTAGAGGCCCGGTGCACGAGATTCGTGCACTGGGGGAGGGGGTCCCTCAGGCCGGCTTGCGCCCTCTTGCAGTCTGGAACCCCTCAGGGGATGTCCGCCTGCCAGCTTATGCCTGATTCCCCTGGGAATCTGGCCTAAGTCGGCAGCCAGACATCCTTCTTGAAGGCGGGGGATCTCACAGTCCAGGACCCCTTGCTCCTTACTGCCCACCTGCAGTGGAGGTGGGAGAGGCTCCCACAACCATCGCTGCTCTTGCCAGCTGTGAGCCCTGCTTCAGGCTGAGCGGCACTCCCCCCATGGGAGCACACTGACCACCAGGGGCAGCTCCTACATTGAGCATCTGCCCCCTGGTGGTCAGTGTGCACCATAGCGAGCAGTTGTTCTGCCATTTGGTGGATTTGCATATTAGGGTTTTATTGTATAGGATGGTGCTGGCTTAGACTGTTGTATGTTCAATTTTGTCTTTCTGGCTAAAACAAAACATTTATTGAGCACACAGAAGGTGTCTTTTATGCTACATTATGTTCCACTCAACAACTTACATGTAATAAAACAAAGTAGTTTCCTAGGCATGTAAACTGATTGGTGGCATTTCATTATATAGGTGTCCCCAAAACATGTATACACACAATATCTGTAGATTCTATTAAATTCTGAAAATGAAATGTATTTTAATAAACACTGCCTTTATAATTGGTCGTAGTGTGTATACATTCTTTTGGATACCCTGTATTTGTTATCAATCCCTGGAAAATTACGCTGATGAATTCTCACCATATTTAAACATAATGTCATTTTCATATGTGTAGCTAATGTTTTTGTTGTTACTTTTCAAAGAACTAACTTGGGGTACTACTCCAGCCGTGGGCAAACTACGGCCGGCAGGCAGGATCCGGCCCGTTTGAAATGAATAAAACTAAAAAAAAAAAAAAAAGACCGTACCCTTTTATGTAATGATGTTTACTTTGAATTTATATTAGTTCACACAAACACTCCATCCATGCTTTTGTTCCGGCCCTCCGGTCCAGTTTAAGAACCCATTGTGGCCCTCCAGTCAAAAAGTTTGCCCACCCCTGGTTTGGACGCATGCCTTTCATTTGCTAAGATAAACACTGGTTTTGCTATACAAATTTTTGTTAATTTCCTTATATATGTTTTCTTCCTCTCTTCTTGTTGGTTTGAGTAGTGGATTCATTCTATGGACCAAGGCTTCAAGAACTGGAACATGTAGTTAACACTTTTAAAATTTATTTATCTAAAAAAATTTATTATGGAATATTTCAAACATATATTAAAGAAAACAGTGTAATAGACCCTCGTTTATTGACTGTCATCCCTCCCCCCAACCTTTTTTTTAAAATATATTTTATTGATTTTTTACAGAGAGGAAGGGAGAGAGATAGAGAGCTAGAAACATCGATGAGAGAGACATCGATCAGCTGCCTCCTGCGCATCTCCTACTGGGGATGTGCCCGCAACCCAGGTACATGCCCTTGACCGGAATCGAACCTGGGACCTTTCAGTCCGCAAGCCGACGCTCAATCACTGAGCCAAACCGGTTTCGGCCCTCCCCCTTTTTTAACCGGTGTCCCTGCGCTTGAGGATAGAACCAGCGGACTGGAAACCATCCAGGATGAAGATGTGGCACGGAGGGAATCGCCCATTTTTAACGATGATCATCCTGGATAATCCTGCTCTCAATTTCAAACAGGACATTTTCCATGTTTCCCCCTGGGTAAGGTGTTTGCTGAGTTTTGTTTCTGTTTGTTTTGTTTCCTTTGGTAGATTCCCTGAAGGACAGTCTTATCACTATTCTGCCAAGAGTGTTGTTGGTTTTGCTATGTATGGATGTTGAAGTTTATCAAATACCTTTCTTACATAATCATTTACATAACATTTTATTTAAAATTTTTGTGCTGTACTTTACTGGTTTGGGTGGAGTTATGACCTTGTGAGGAGAAGGGGGGTCGGGGGAGATGCGGGAAGCCGGATTTAAGGGCCTCACTGCTTCAGAGGGGACAGCCCAGGGCCTGCGCGCCCACCTTCTTGGGAGCACAAGGCCCCCGCCCACGACCCCTATTTATTTGCATAAATCCGATAAGATTCTATTCCCCTTATGATTCTCCAATTGTGGTTTTATTAACCAAGACTGACTGTAATGTCACGTGCCTGGACTCTGGGGGTCACCGAAAGCCTTCTCAAAACTGATGGAAGCCAATCAAAGGCAAGAACGGCCTGGTAGGTACCTTGCCTGTTTGCTTGGTTCACAGCAATCTTTCCCAGTAAGGAATGAAGGTTGCTCTCCTAGGAGATGGCAGAGAGAACATCAAGGCATCCTGGGGACCTCAAAAACTTGAGGATTACAACCAAATCCGTGCAGGCAAAGAGTCCCTGGAGACATATACCCCGACCCCGAAGGTCCCCAGAATCCTTGGACTCCTGAGTGTCCGGAACCCCCTGAGATCCCCAAACCCCGGGTCCCCAAGACCCCCGATATCGCCAGAGAACCCGGGACCGCCGCAACCCCTGAGAACTGGGGACTCTTGAGTCCCCACGAACCCCGCATCGCCGAGACCTGGGGGACACCAGGAACCCCGAAACCCCAAGACTCCCTGTAACTCCCGGATCCCAAGGCCCACCCGAGACCCTCCGGACGCCAAGATCCCCCAGAATCCCCGGGCCCCTGAGTTTCCGGAGACCCCTGGATGTCGGAGATACAGGATCCCAAGGGCAGCCCGTCAGGACCCTTCCTTTACTCCGCAGGATCTGAACCTCCGGGCTGCTCCACTCCCGGGATCCTCCGTCCCCCGGGCGCCCCTAGCCCACCCGGGCCTGCGACTCCCCTGCCAGAGACCTCCGGCCGGGCGGGGGCGCTGAGTGACCCGAGGGCTGTGCGAGGAAGATGCAGGGAACACCCGGACGTGACGCGCGGTAGACGGAAGTCCCGCCTCTGTCACCCACGGAAGCCCCGCCCCCTTCCTCCGCCTGAGTCCCGTGTGTCTGCCTGCTTCCCTCGTGGCCGATCCGCCGTCATGGCGCACTACAACTTCAAGAAGATCACGGTGGTGCCGTCCGCCAAGGTGAGCGTCCGGGGACCTTCCGCTCTCGCCTTTTTCCTGCAAAGCTCCCCTGCCGGCCCGCTACCCAGGCCATATCCTCGAAATAAGGGGTCCCCCGGGCTAGGCCCCCCCGCAAAGGGTGGGTTCCTTTCTCAGACCTTCGAGTCCTCTACCGAGACGAGGATTCCTTCCTCAGTGATTGGAGTCTTTTTCCAGAGAGCAGCGTTTCTCTTCAGACGTTTGAATCCTCTACGGAGGGGAGAGGTCCTTCCCCAGGAGTTGGGGTCTTTCCTCAGACATTAGGGTCCCCCCACCCCCAGAGGTGAGGGGGTCCTTCCTCAGCGGTTAGGGTCCTCTCCAGAGAGGAGGGCTCCTCCCCAGAGGTTGAGGTCGGTCCTCATGACGCATAGTGGTCTCTCCTTTGGAAAAACTGCTGTTTGAACTACTCTGTTGTTCCTCCTCTCTTATTCCGTAGGTCAACTCTGTTATTTTTAGGCTGTAAAATAACTGTTTTTTGCCTGAATAGGAAAGATAAACTCAATTGTCTGACCTTGCGAGCTAGCCATCTAACTGATACGCTGATACTGATGCCAGGTGCCTGTGTAGATCGACATGTACTCAAGGTTACACGCTGTCTACAAACATAACTTAAAGAACTAGAAGGAGATAAAAAGGAAATACTCCCTCCCGTGTTTGTTCAGAATTTGGCAGAGGTGATCTGCTCTGAACCTGCGCGCAATAAAGATGACTCCTAACTAATTGGCTCATTAGGCTCTTGTCGAGCTCGCTGATTTGCGATAGAACTCTCAGACATTAGGGTCCCCCCTCCCCCAGAGGTGAGGGGGGTCCTTCCCCAGACGTTAGGGCCCACCACTGCCAGGAGGGGCGAGGCGGAAAGCTTTATGAAGCAGTAGCTTTGGGACTGCCCCCTCGAGGGTTCACAAAGGCGCAGACGGCAGGAGGGAGTAGCGACCTGCAATCCGACATCTGTACGCCAGCTGGTGCTGCAGGCACCTGCCAGCTGGGGAACTCGCGCAAAAACCTTTCATGTCCTTGTCTCCTTAACAAGTCCTAGGAAATTATCAACAATGGATTTTCGTTCTACGTGCTTTTAACGTTGTAGGATTGTTTTTATTTTTTTTTTAATACTGTGGAGTGTTTTGGGGTTTTTTCCTGATTTACGCTTGAGTTGTCTACTTACGTTTTCAAAGGTTTTTAGGTGTTTGGGAATTAAAAGAAAGATTTATTTCAGCAGCCATTTGCTAAGTATTTTTTAAAGGCCAGAAACTATAAAGATGAACAAGGTTGTATATAAAAGATTTAGTTAGAAAAGGTGTCATTTAAAAAAAAAGTACTATTATTAGACATTAGTCTTCCAAGAAGGTTTCGATAAAGTGGATGAAAAGTAGGCGCATTTGGTGTAACTCTTTCTTATTTTATTTAATTGCAGGACTTTATTGACCTGACGTTATCGAAGACGCAACGGAAGACTCCAACGGTCATTCATAAACATTACCAAATTCATCGCATTAGACATTTTTACATGAGAAAAGTCAAATTTACTCAACAGAATTACCATGACAGACTCTCACAGATTTTAATGGACTTCCCCAAATTGGATGTAAGTGACTCTAGAGTCCACAGATGCTTATGTAAATGTTAGCTGTTGGGTAATGGGTTTTAACCAGTTTGGTCTACTCACCTCACAGATTACGAAGGAAACAGAAAACAATGGAGTTGTCTAAGTTTACTCAGTGAGTTAGTGGCAAAGTTTGGGAACAGAACATGGTTTGTTATTTGTTTTTTTGTTTTTAAATTTCTTAATAATTTTACTTTCTGCCAACCAAACCATCTAAGAGGGCCCAGCGCTATTTCCAGGTTTTGTAACTTTGAGGCTCGCAGAGTCCAACCCAGGGTCTTGGAAAGCTGTGACTGGATCTGGAAGTTCTCGCAGCTCACCAGCTGGTCTGGTTTCCGCTCCTGCCTGTTTCCAAGGCTCTTTTTCCTGGCCTCAAGTTGGGTCCGTGCCCTGAGGTCTACCACTGTTTGTGATCCTGTTGGTTCATCAGCCAGTGATGGTCAGTTCAGCTCTGACTGCTTTTTTTCACTGGTGGTAAGACATTGCTCGGAGGAAAACTGATTTTCCATTCAGTCACAAAAGTTGAACTCTTCACTCTTCTGCATAGTGCAGTTTGCCTGTTTGTTTAGTTGTAGAGAGGTGGAGCAGCACTGCTTATGAAGTCCTCGTGTAGGAACACATGGTAGCAAGGTTATGTGAGATGGTGAAGGATGTGAGAGTGTAAATTTGCCACTGTCCTAAAATAGTCTTTATATTTAAAAAGATAATGATATAAAAAATGAAATAAAAAGATATTGATGGTCCTAGCCAGTTTGGCTCAGTGATAAGAGCATCGGCCTGCAGACTGAAGAGTCACGGGTTTGATTCCTGTCAAGGGCATGTACCTTGGTTGCAGGCCCCATTTCAGGCCCCAGTCAGGGCGCATGCGGGAGGCAACCAATTTCTGTGTCTTTCTCACATCAGTGTTTCTCTCTGTCTCTACTCCCCCCTTCTACTATAAAAATCACCCTATTCTTTGTTGAGGATTAACAAAAACAGAAGGTGATGGTTTGTTTTTAAAAATACAGAAATGTTTAAAATAAAATTTAAAGGTTTCAGCTAGAGGAGTGACACTTATATGTCTTTCAATAGTTGCTTTTGAATAAGTATTTCTTGGGAAAGAGAGGCTTCCCCTTCTACCCTCTCAGGTGTGCAGCCTAACTTCTAAGGAACCCCACGAGACTTGCAGCCAGGGGAGCAGTGGGCAGTGGCAGCTTGTCCCGAGCTCACCCCCTGAACCTGTCTCCAAGGCCCCCTTTTCTCTGATTTCTCAGTGATTTCTTAGGGCTCTCTCCTGCCCTAAGTGTTTCCTGTTTTACTGTCCCCAGCTTTAAAAAAGTGCTCTCAAAATTGAAAAACAAACAGGATGAGATTATTCTAAACTAATTTGATATTAGGAAATACCTGGTTTGAACGAACAAAATACTTTGGTCTAATTAGTACCAGGTTTCTGTGGTTCTTTGTAAGTTTTATCTTCTATGGCATCATTTTTTATACATTAGAGGTTCAAATTTATGAACATTATATTTGTGTGTGTGTTTAAAGTTACAGTTAGTTATCTGAGAACAGTTTCAGGGTAGAGGGTCAGAGTAAATTACCATTCATCTGGGTCTCGGGTATTGTTCTTCAGAGGTGACACGCAAACTCATTTTTTTTGTAGATTTTTCTTTGTTAAATGGCATTTAAATACATAAAATAAATATTAAAAATAGACGTCTTTGTTTTACTATGTTGCAAATATCAAAAAATTTCTATATGTGACACGGCACCAGAATTAAGTTAGGGTTTTTCAAAATGCTGACACGTCGAGTTCAAAAGGTTTGCCATCACTGTTCTAGACACTAGGAATACAGCCATAATAAAAGAGGTCCCTGATGTTGTCTAGTGTGGGGAAAGACAGTAAATGTGAAAATACATGGTGTGTCAGATAAATATGGAGAGTAGGGAGGTTGTAAGAGACCTGAAGGAAGGGAGGTGGTAAGCTGTCTGGCTCCCTGGGGAAAGCAAGCGCCAAGGCCCTGAGGTTCAGAGTGTGGTGTCTTCCCAGAACAGGCGAACTCAGGAGATGAAGGAGAGCACTGGGACATGGGTCAGAGAGGTAATGGGTGGGGCGAGGCGACTTGTGTAGGGCTTGAATTCTGTTGTTAAGTAGAGAAGCCTTAGGAGCTGAGCCTGCGACTGGCCATGTTCTGGCTTGGCTCTTAGAGGATGACTGGCCTTTACAGGTAGGAGGCCACTCAGGTCAGTGCAGTGACTTAGAGGACATGGTGGTGAAGGAGTTGAGAAGTGTTTGGCTTCAGGGTATCCTTCAAAGGAAGAGCTAATGGATTTGCTCATGGAGTAGGTGTGGGCCATAGTCCACAATGGAGTTGCCCTTCACCGAGACGGCGAGGGACACTGGTTTGAGGAGGTGGAGAACAGTTTGTACATGTTAATTGTGAGATGTTCAAGCAGAAATGCTGAGCAGTCTGAAGCTCGTGAGTAGCCTGGCCTAGAGTTGGCCAGATATGACTTGTAAAAATGTAGATGTGTGAGATCCTATGGAAGGTCACCTAGGAAATGAGTGTGAGAAGAGTGGTTTGGGGAGTGTGAGGGGTTAGCATTGGAGCTCGAGCCAGCAAGGGGGTTGGAGAAGTAGCCAGTGAAAGAGAAGATCCTAGAGACCAGGTGAATAAACGCATCAGGAAGTGTGGGAAAGGATCCGGTGAGAAAAAGGGAGGACCGGATGTCACTGTTGGTGGTGAGCTGTTTAGACGGCCTGGTAGAGACAGTCCTGATTAGTTTGGGTTGTGGGAATGGGGAGAAAGAAAAGACTTGGTACCCTTCTTCTTGACATTTGCCAAGAAGGGGAGCAGAGGAAAGGAAGGATGGAGGTGGGGGGGACAAGGGAGTTTTAAGACTTAAAATTTGGGGGGAGAAATAATAGGTTTACAGGCTGATGGGAATGGCCAGGTGGAGAGGGAATACTATCTGGAGCTCAGTTCTTAAATTGTAAGGGGCAGGGTCCAATGCATGGATGGACCAGGCCTTGGTTGGATCAGAGAACAGTTGTCCTACAGGAGGGGATGAAGGTCTGTGGATGGGCAGAAGTGACTGCCGGCTTACTTCCCTGTAACTCCTGCTGTCTCAGAGAACCAGACAGACGTTAGCCAGGAGAGAGATCTGGGGAGAGATGCCACGGGTGTGGGAAGAGAGAGGAAGGTGTGATGTATTTCCCTAGGAAATTATTCTTCAAGTACTATGTACAATAGGGATGAGAAACTTGGGCCAAACTGCTTTGCTTTTTTTGTTACAGGATATCCATCCATTTTATGCTGATTTGATGAACATTCTCTATGATAAAGATCATTACAAGTTGGCTCTGGGACAAATAAATATTGCCAAGAATTTAGTGGACAAGTAAGGTATTTTCCTAATATATTATCTTTTAAAATTGTCAAAAGTGAAAATAACTTACGTGCCTCTTTTTATTTATTTAAGTGTTGCTAAAGATTATGTGCGGCTTATGAAATATGGAGACTCCCTCCCGCGTTGCAAGCAGCTGAAGCGTGCCGCCCTGGGGCGAATGTGCACTATTATCAAAAGACAGAAACAGAGTTTGGAGTATTTGGAACAAGGTATTTGTCATACATAAGCAAAAATGTCCTTGAGTGCATTCTATTAAGGTATTTGGTCCTTGTCA